AGAGTCCAGAGGGAGCAAGTGCTGGGCTCGCCCCATCTCCCTTTATCAGGAGGACAGCCTTTCCCAGAAACCACTGGGATTCTGCTCCAGTTTTAAGGGTTTGACTTATTCTTGCTTAAACCAATCACAGTCAAAATAACTGAGGTGGCCATGATTAATTCTCAGATGAGTCGACATTCACCCCCACGTAGCCACAGAGGAGCTATTTTCCAGCACCATCGATATTCTACCATCAAGGAAAGATAGAGGACAGATACTGGGTGGGCAACTAACAGGCTATTTGGCAAAAGAGTATTTTTAGTTAAGTGCATTTGCACTGCCAATGCACCATGAAATACCTAAGGAAAACTTAATTCCACAATTGCTGATTTTGATACTTATGTTATCCACGAATAAACATTGCTCATTTGAGACTGTACTTGTCCTATACTCTCTCCACCCTTTCAGTCTCTTCTTAGTGGAGTATCTTTAATTGAGTCATGACTGGTGACTTCTTCGAGCTACTTAATTAGGATATCAATACCATACTAAGTGAAGGCTGTATAGCTCTACACCACCCCCCCCCGAACACTCACACTTGAATCCCTCCTTTATAATGATACATAGACTAAGAGAGCGTGCTTGGTAGACTGACATGATCAAATAATCAATCAATCAGTCAATTTCAGTACCTAATCATGTATAAACAAAAGACTGTCTTTCTAGGTTGTAACCCAACAATGTACACAGGTTTTTATATATGTTGATTATTCTATAAAACAAATAATACTCCAACTATTGAATTATTTACCGAAATTTCTGAATATAATTAAGCTCAGACTTCAAATACCACTTTATAGTTCATAGTCAATGGGGCCAGAGAAGACAGTTGCTTCTGTGTGCTTTGCTAAAATGAATAAACATACCGCCAGAAAATAATCAGTGTCAAATAAAAATTTCATTGAAAAATGAATTGCTTTTCATGGCCCCCCAAATAATTTCAGTTTACAAAATTTGAGAATTATTTTAATGACCTTCACTTCAAAGAAAAAAAAAGTTTCATTAGCTTTCCTCCCTGTTACTTATTTGGAACATTTGTCTCAGTCCTAATTGTATAAATAATATCATACTTTCCTATCAGATTTTCTTTAACATTTGAAGCACCATTTAAAAACAGAGATAGAGCTGGCTTGGTGGCTCAGCCTGTAATTCCGCGCCTTTGGGAGGCTGAGGTGAGTAGATTGCCTGAGCCCGTGGGTTCGAGACCCGCCTGGGCAATTTGGCGAGACCTCATCTCTACAATAAATCAAAATGAGCCGGGGGTGGTAGTGCATGCCTGTAGTTCCAGTTACTTAGAAGGCTGAGGCGGAAGGATTGCCAGAGCCCCAGCAGGTCGAGGCTGCGGTGGCTGGGAGCAGCCACTGCACTCCAGCCTGGGTGGCAGAGTGAGACTCCAACTCAAAAAAAAAAAAAAAAAGAACCAGTGATAGAAATACTCCTCCCAAGGAAATTATATAGTTTAAAGTTTCAGTATGGGTGAGCACAGCGGTTCACAACTGTAATCCCAGCACATTGGGAGACCAAGACTGGAGGACTGATAGAGCCCAAGAGTTCAAGATCAGCTTAGGAAGCATAGCGATACCTCCCCTCTACAAAAAAATTAAAAGCATTAGCTAGCATGTACCTATAGTCCCAGCTACTCAGAAGGCCAAGGTGGAAGGATCTCCTGAACCCAGGAGATTGAGACTACAGTGAGTTGTGATCATGCCACTGCACTCCTGCCCAAGCAACAGAGTGAGACCTCAGCTCAAAACAAAAAATAAAAATTTCATGTGCAAATTCATATTTGGGAGAAAAGGGAAAATGCGAAAAGAAAAGAAAATATATGAAGGAATGAACCACTCTTGACTGTTTCCCCCCAAATATGTTAATTTTATGTAGCTCAGGTGATATAGTTATCCCATGAAAGATTCATTTGAAATGAATCGCCTATTTATGTTTTCAAATGTATATTGCAACAGATTTGAAACGTAGCGCTTCTGATCAAATTGTGACTGGAAGTTAGAGAAGCCACTGACACGCTCCCAGATCTCTTTAGTAACCATGGCTCCTGATGAATGACTGTTAACAATCCCCTAAAGAAGCGTTTCTCAACATGGGCACTGTCCTCTTGCACTAGATCATTTTTTTGTTATGGGGGCTGCCGTGTTCATTTTAAGATATTTACCAGAACCCTTGGCCTCTCCCACTAGATGCCATAGTGCCTCCTTTCCCCAATTGCAGCAAACAATGTATCCAAACATTGCTAAATGTCTCCCATGAGGCAATATCAAAATTGTCTCCTCTCTTACTTCCTCATCTTGTTAAGAACCACTGCCCTAAACCATAAGAGCATATTTTCAGTGATTCCATAGGTATGACATTGTTGTTATGATTTCCCCCTTACGGATACGGTTCTATTCTGGTTAACCTCCAGTAATTATAGGAGTAATAACTGCTAGTTATTAGAGGTAACTACTTTAAAGATAGCAAGTTCAAAGTTGTTTCCAGCTATCACATCTTGGTTTTTTTTTTTTTTTAAGAAAAAGCTTTCAGCAAAGAAATAACAATTGTTTTAAGTATCTATTTCCTTCAAAAACAAAACAAGCACAAAATTAATCTATCCTTGTCATATTGAAAATGGAAAGAATTAGGCAATAAAAATAACTAATTGAATCTAAAGGCACAAACCATGGTAAAAGCAAAGATATTAAATCCAAAATCTGAATTTACTATGCAGTACTTTTATCCAAGAATTTGATCAGTTTCTCAGAAGAAAATGAATATTAATCTAACATTTTCTAAGTCTGTGGGATTTGTTTCCTCATGGATATTATGGTTCACATATAAGTGGGAAATTTAATTATACACTATACATTACCACAGGACAATAATTCATATATTTGTTTTTACTCTTTTCTTTTCTTTTGGCTTTGGGGTTCCTATCTATTACAAGTATCACAACCTATGGGGAGATTTTCTTTTCTCCCTGCGAATCATAATGATAAACTAGAGAGACTGGCCAGGTGTTTTAGGCTATTTCATGTGTCAGAAATAAGAAAGTCACAGCCGTAAGATCAACAGAGAAGGCAATGAGGAGGGGCAGTAGTCTGAGGGAGGCTCCCTGAGGCAACAGCAAGCCTGGGTAGAAACTGAAGACTATGGTTGACTGAGGAAGCCATCACAGATTTCAGGCAACAGAAGGTAGGAAGTTGGGCCAGAGATTGAATATGTCAAGAGGTAAGTTATCCAGGGAAATTTTTTTTCAATAAACTATATTCTTAAAGCATCCCCTGAAGATTGTATTGAGATGCAGATTTGGCAAGTCTGAGGCAGGGCCTGAGAGCTGGCATTTCCTGTAATCTCCCTAGTGTTGATATGGCTGTTTGGTCCACATGCCAAACTTTATACAGCAAGGTGCTGGAACATTCACCTTCTGCCTCCCCACATAGCTCTGGAAATAGAAGTGCCAGCTTTGCTTCAAAAATCTATGAGATTAACAGTGGGAGAATTCATTTTCCCTAATTCTCAAAAAATAGAGTCATGTTTTATCTAGACCTTCTTTAAAAAAAAATTAAGGTAGACTGTTGCTTTGATATACAAGTTAATTTTTTGTTATTTAAAAAAAAAATGCATCTATATCCATTAGTGAAATGTCACTGTGATTTTTGCTTTTTTGGTATCCTTGAGTTTTGTATTACTTCTGATGAAGTAATAAAAGAAGTCAACTTTCTGAAATCAAAATTGAGGTTAGGTCTGATTTTTGGATGATTAGTTTCAAATAAGTTTTCCAGCTCTTCTTGGGTTTCGATTCGCTCTTTATGACAACCAAGGCTGTGCTTTTATCCTAATCATTTGATTCCTTTTACACCTATGGGAAAACCAAATTCTGGCTTACTTCATGCTCTCTCCTCCAAAGGAACTAACGAAGGCTTGAGGATAGGTTTTGGCATTCTGTCAATGTCAAGGTGTTCCAGGAAGAGAAACAGATACAAAGATGACAGATAGATGAAGTATCCCTGACAGGAAACATCCATTGGTGAAGGGGCTGGTACTCTCCATCAGAGTGAGTGAGTTCAGGCACAAAAACCTAAACACTGAACACCAATACTAAGTGGAAGTAATGATAATCTCTTCATAAAGAAGACTGCCATAGAAGGAAGGGAGTGCATAGATTTGTTCCTACGAGAAATGTTTCAAAATGGCACATTTTGCATATTTCACAGCCTATACTTGGAAACAAAAAGGCATGCTCAGGCATTTATTACACAATTGTGTAGGAAACACAGTTTTACAAATGTACAACCTTCTTTTATCCGAAAAAAAGAAAAATGTTCTCACACAAAAGGCTCATTAGAAACAGTCAAAGCACCAAAATGCCACATACCCTGATGTGTCTGGCTTGATAAAATACCAAAGTTACATAAAAAGTTTAAAATATAAAGACAGGATCTCATTCTTTTCTCTATAATATTCTCAGTTTTATACAGATTAGTCAGGTTGCAGACGTTTTAAACAAGTAAATTATGACTATATAGGTTTATTAGTTTATTGTTGACTAATAAATTCTATCTCACTTGAAACAGTCAACTGAGGTTGATTTTAAAACTATAACTCAGGAGAATACCATCTCCAAATACACATTTTCTAGGTTACTTGAAACTTAGGATGTCTTATCAGTTCACCTCTTCTGATCACACTACAAAAATTGCTAGATGGTCATGCTTAGATCATCGACATGATGCTAATAATAATTAAACTACTTAATAAGTCAATTCAAACAACTGATAAATTCAGAAGAAAAAATCTTCAAATTCCTCAATGGTTCTATTGAACACAAATATCAAGTTTATGACATAAACATAATTTGTCATCAGAAGTACAGGAGTTCCCTTTAGAAAATGCATCAATAATTTCATCTGTTCCCTAAGAGAGACAATGGAGAAAAACCACATTTCCTTTCAATAGTTTATTGAACTTACCCCATGTGACGGATAAGAGATCCAGCCCAGCTCCCCTTGAATTGTTTTTGAATCTAGTAGATTGACTAAAATAAAACACAAATACACAGACACGGTTGTTAGTAATAGTAATGAATGATTTCTATTTGGTTCTGTTAACATTGCTGTTGCAATTGTTGATAGTGTTCAGAAACATGACTCTTTATTTTCATAAGAGTATGATGAATATAAAAAGAAGGAAATAACAAAAAACACAGAAAGTTAAGGGAACAAAATTTCTGTAGTCTTTTAAGCTATATTTGTATACAAAGATAGGTTAATATTCAATATGTTGATAATTTCTGACAGAGTAATTATAGTTTTAAAGAAAAAATACAAATGCAAAATAGGAAATAATAATGCTAACAAGACATCAAAATAACTTCAAAGATCATTAAATTTGGTAAATGTATATATTATTCTATAATTAATTAATTTCTTAAATATGTTTCCATAATGTATCAATATATTTGTTTGCCTATATCAGATATGGCATTTTTATATTGTCCCTGGCTAATACAAAACATATTATTCTGCAATGTGTATTATAAAATAGTGTATACACTATTTACTTATGGATAACAAACAAAATGCTTAACTACCAATTTGTGGAGAAGCCAAAGCAAAAATATGCTTTACAATATTGTCTGCTTAAAGCTTTACTTATTTAAAGAAAATATTTTTCCCCAAAGGATTAAGTGATTTTACTCATAACTTTGTGCTAGTTCTTGAAAAGTCTGCTTACTAATCAATAGTTATAGATGAAAAGTAAAATATCACATGAATGTGGTTGCATTTTGAATACATTATTTAAAAAGAAAGGAAAATATTTCTTTTTGATACAGTATTAATTTGCAATGGATTAGAAACTAAAATATAAAGAGGCACTTAAAATATAATTAATAACAAAGGCTCATTTTGATTGTCAGTCTGGATCTGTTGAATAATGGAAACTATGGTTTTACCTCAACCTTCTTCTAAATTAGAAAACAATCCCAGGATTGACTAATGGAAGATGTAAAGGAAGGTTACATTAACTAATCATGCATTATTAACATGAACCAGAGCAATAGATCAATAAATACAATAAGAGAGAATCATTTTCAGAGGTATATATACACACATGAAAATATAAGTATATACACTGTGCAATATAGTCACAGGCTGTCAATAAAGTATTTCCCAAAACATGAAAAGACCTACTCTTTTTAAAATAATATCAACTAGCTCTTTTACAAAGGAAACATTAATCTAAACCGGGTTCGGTGGCTCAGCCTGTAATCCTGCGCCTTTGGGAGGCTGAGGTGAGTGGATTGCCTGAGCCCGCGGGTTCGAGACCCTCCTGGGCAGCGAGACCTCATCTCTACAATAAATCAAAAAATCATCCGGGCGTGGTAGCGCATGCCTGTAATTCCGGCTACTTGGAAGGCTGAGGCAGAAGGATCGCCAGAGCCCAGCAGGTCGAGGCTGCGGTGACCGGGAGTGGCCACTGTACTCCAGTCTGGGTGACAGAGTGAGACTCCAACTCAAACAAAAAAACCAAAAAACAAAAAACATTAATCTAAATTATTAACCAAAAAACTGAAACATTTGATAACATCAGATTTCTAAATTTTCAAGCACTACTTTAAGGGAAGATACTTGGTTACCTGGTGACATGATAAATACATTAAGTGAGTATAAGAAGGGTGCTTGGTCATTACAATTTAAAAGAGATACAGTTCTCAAAGTTAGATTCTGCAAGTTTTGCTGGTGAATGAAAAACCCATAAACTTAGCCTATTATATTAAAAATTCTTACTGATTAAAGGATATTACTCACAATAAATTAATCCCAAAGAGAAGCAATTATGTTTAGATAAAACAGAGAACTGCTGCATGGATTACATAGTGTAATTTCCATAATTGAATTATTACCCATGATATGAGTTTGGAAATTAACAACATTCCTAATTATCTTTCAAAATCTCTCAAAATAATAAAAAAACTCTACCAATTAATCAGTGTTATAGATTATATTTGTGAAAATATGAGAATACACCCTCATCTTTAAGTTAGTTATATGACCAACATTCATTTTAAAGATATACCTCATTCAATTGTTGGTTATCTCACAGTAATTGTTTGATTTCTCTGGGTTTTACATAAAATTTGCATAGTAGAACTTACCTTACTAGCATTTATAAATCATTAGATCATATTTGCAATGTCTTTGGGGTTTATGTGACTCACTGTATGATAGTGTGTAAGTAGCAATGTCACAGGTTCTAAATGACAATTATGTACTCCATATGCTAAAATGCATGGCTGTTTTAATTTCAATATTAGTAACCAGAGAAAAGCGTTTGCAGTAAAGAAGATATGATTTAACACTGTCTCCATTTAGTAAATAACTCATTGGAATGTAAGTTGCTAACAAAAGAACTAAATATCCTTAAGTTTTCTCTGATGATAATGATGATGGGGAAAGGACTGGACTGATTACACCTGCATTTGGTTTCTACTCAACTATCGCTAAACTGAAAAAAATAATTTTACCATACATTCAATTAAAATAAGTATAGTAGACTAATATAACTTATTGCTTTACTCACAGATTGAATTGTCACTGTACACCATTTAGTATAAATAAGAAAAACAATTAGCAGCATTAGTTTTGATTCTGTCTGTCAAACATAATTATATCTGCTCTGGGTATCTCACAAGTAATATAAATGTATTTAAAAACACCATGAGTTTATAACGTGCTGTACTCACTCAGTGTTCTTGTAAACTTAATGTATTATCTAACTGCAGTTCCATTTGGGCTTCTGAATTATATTTGTAATCAACCCTCAATATATGACCTAGTAGAATAGAATAATTGACATTAAAATGCTTTTTAAAGCACCAATTTTGGATTTGTAAGGTGCCACTTGTTTGTAGCTAGATTTAAACAACACAATTTAAGAATTCTAAACACTTTAAAGTGAATGGTTGCTAACTTGGGACTTCCCAGAATACAAACCTCAAGTGTCCTGTGATCTCTTATATAACAATTTGAGAATAGCATAATAGGGAGAAGACAAAGTCAATGGAATTTGAAAGGGAGTCTCGGAGTGATTTCTCTGGATACACTGACTAAATCTAATTTCATAATACAAATTAAACCCCACACTGATTAGGCAAGAACTTTGGTTACTAGAATTTCGTCTCTCAAAACGTGTGTAGACCTGATCATTTTCTTTCGCACGGTTCTGCCCTTCAAATGCCAAGACAGGTAGGATAGGCCGATGGATTGTGATGTGCAGATATCATCGTATTGAAGTCTGAGTTTGAGTGACAACTTGCAATATGGATGATTTATTTCAATTGTTGGAAAACCTGAGTTCCCCTGGTACATCTTGACAAAAAAAGAGAAAATTTTTCCAGGGAAAAGTGGAAACATAGATGACTTAATTATTTAATGACTGTCTCAGGTCAGTTATTTACCAAAGATATAAATTGTCTTTTACTAGATTCATATTCTACTGATGTCATTTGCAAATGTTTTTGGTGTGTAACAGGAAACACATTATTTTATTAATTTCAGAATTGTTTACATTCAAAGAGTTACATGGTGCATATTAACTTTTTAACTGAAAGTGATATAAATTAGAAGTGTTTTTAAATGTTATGATTCTTTTGAAAACACGAGAATATACCCTCACATTTAAATTAAATTATATTACCAACATTCATTTCAATAAAGACATAGCTCATTCAATTGTAGGTTATATCAAAATAATCATTTGGTTTCTCTAAGTTTTATATAAGATTTGCACAGTAGAATTTACCTTGTTGGTATTCATAGATCATTAGATAATATTTACAATTCTTGAGGGTTTCCATGACTCACTGGGTGACTGTGTGTAAGTAATAATTTGATATGTACCAAATGATAATTATGTGTCACTTGACATACTAAAATATAGAAATGGTTGAGATCTTTTGGGCAAAATGTAAGTTGATATATAAACAGTTGAGGTCTTTTGGAGCAAAGTTGTATTTGAAATCACTGTCCCAAGTCTACATAGATATGGTTCTGTTTTTTTATCTTACATGATTTAACGTCACTAGTCTTAACTGCTTGTAAGTAGAGATGTATGGATTGGAGAAGGGTCTTACATTCGTGAGAAGACAATCCTTACTTAGACTCTTGAATTGGCTGACTTTCAGGTAGGTACTGCATTGGTTAGGGCTGCTAGAAAGAAGTATGGTTTCTGATGGGAATCAGAAGGTGTAGAATGAAGTAAATGTGCAAAAAGAGTGTCAGTTGGCGTACATTGGTAGCGCTCCCCGATGGAGAGGAAGAAACCTGGTCGTTTTGCTTGCCAATGATCTCTGCCATCACATTGTATTGTGCTGGGTGCTGTATTGTGGATAAGATTCTTGGGAGTCATGCTTTCTCTTCCTTTCCTATCCTCTGTCTAAGGGAGAGACTCAATCCCAAACCCATTCCTGATAATTGCTCATTTGTATTGGAAGTGTCATAAAGAGCAGCAGATCCCCAGAAACTAACACCATCTTCTTTCTAATTAACTAATGGGAATGCATCAAGATTTTTAAAAGGACTCAGCTATTGAAATAAGAGTTTGAAAAAACGTTTTCAGTTGGTAAGGACAGATTGAAAATTAACGGTAGTTGATATCTGTCTGGGGAAGGGGGGATATACCTCCTCAACAAGGGTACCTGAACAATGAATATTTGTATACCTAACCCTTAACTATACCCCACAATTTTAAAATAAAAATATATCTAATTAAAAAAAAGAAAACTTGAGATATACATTTCTGGAGTCTTCACTCTTAAAGAATTGTTAGCACCTTGAGAACTTTTAAAGGACATTTTAAAATTCTAATTCATAGCTGCTACTTGTTCACTTAGAAAGACTGAGAGTTAAACCAATATTCATATCTTGACAGATTCTTAAGTGCTGTAAATATACAGACAGTGCTTACATAATTTTTTAAATTAAATGCCACAATCTTTTACTAAAGCAGAAGATCTTTCCAATTATCTATTAATACATCAATATGCTTTGTGGTTATGCTATAGCTGAGTATTATGAAAACACTGAGTCATAAATAATTATCACATAATGATTTCAAGGCTAACAGTAGGCTTTAATGACTAAAGAATTCAGACTCTTAGAATAATAGACATGTTTTCTTGTAAAACCTTCAGTTGTAAGGGGCTTTTATAGCCAAGTACAAATAATTATTAAACCACTGAAACAGAAAATAAGCTCATTCTTTGATTACATCTTGCTTTTACTAAAGAATAATGACATTTTCTTTTCTATTCACACCATCATTGTAATTTTCCCAGTCACATTACAAATACTTATCTTTATCATTTTCATCACTTTCTGTTATAATAAACAGAGTAACTTTGCTGTAGGTTACAGGACTTCACAGAGTTCCTTAATCTGCTTCTGAATGATTTTAAATGTCACAAGTAGAAGAAAATGATACAGAAAGAAAGAATTTTTTCTCAGTGTTTATAATTCTCTGTGTAATTCTCTGGTCAAGCATAACATAGAATTAAAAAGTCAAGATTTATTTTCTGACAAGAGTCCACCAAAGATCAGTTTTTTAGTTTTACTGTACATTCCAGGAATGACTTTGAGAAAAAATTTGGATAATTTGCACTTTAAAATAACATTTATCTATTGTGCTTATATATTCGTAATTTAATTGCTCCAGTGGGTTTCTATTTGCATTTTTTAATTTCTATCTGAGCATAATAAGAAGACTTTAATAGATCTAATTAATATTGTATTTCATAGAGGAAAAATTATAAAAATGTTAAATTATAAATGAAGTCAACTTTTATCCATCAATTTTGTACAGATAAAACTTCCTGTGACCTATGTTAAATTTAACAGACATTTTGTGCCATAGAAATATTAATTTTTAAGTTTTAAATAAAATGACCAGCTAAAAATATTGTTAGAAATTGTTGTGTTATACATTTCTTGCCACGCTCAACATTTTTGTGAACAACTTCTTGTCGCATGATATCGCAATAGTTTATTTATAGGATAGAAGATTTCTGGACAAGACGGTAATGCCCTCCACTGTTTCTTTCTCATTAGCTTTTCTCCTGGGCAATAATTTTGGATTTATTTCACTACAGATCTTAATTATAGAGGAAATTGCAATTAGCTGCCTCATCTCAATCTTTGCCAACAGTAGGGGGAACTCCTTGAAATCAAAACAGAGTCTCCCAGTAAGATGTCTTTGTTTTCCTAAGTAAAGGGATCAAAAAAAGAGCACAGACCAAAATTTTACTTAAACCTGGACACTCTGCTGTTTCTTTTCTTTTCTTTTCTTTTCTTTGAGTTGGATTCTTACTCCGTCACCCAAACTGGAGTGCAGCGGCTGCTCAGGCCACCGCAGCCTCGACTGCTGGGCTCCGGCGATCCTTCCGCCTCAGCCTTCCGAGTAGCTGGAATTACAGGCACGCGCTACCACGCCCGGCTGATTTTTTGATTTATTGTAGAGATGAGGTCTCGCCTGCCCAGGCGGGTCTCGAACCCGCGGGCTCAGGCCATCCGCTCACCTCAGCCTCCCAAAGCACGGGATTACAGGCTGAGCCACCGAGCCCGGCTTGCTGTTTCTAAAGTGTTAAAATGTCCTTTCCCCCCCTCCTTTTAATAGGATAAGCCTATAAGCCATACTGATATCAATACTATTATGGAAAAAGCAGCTATCCAAATATCAATAGGAAATGTGTACTTATAATAAAATAACTCTCTTATATAAACGAGTGGGGACATTCTACTCTCAGTGAATTCTTAGCACACTGACAACTTCACTTCAATAACAGTTCTCAGAATAGTGGGTCTCATTTCTGTGCATTGTCAACTGATATTATGAATCATTTAGACAACTAAAATGTGTTTCCCAAAATGTAAACGTTTCTAAAAGCAGGACATTAGTGATTATGTAAAAGGTATATTCTTCGCACTTTTTTGCTTTTTAAAAGTGTTTCAGAAATAAAAGAACAACTTGCTCCTTTCCAATGCAGAAAGACATTTTTGAAATAAATTAAACAGTGAAAAATGAAAACATTTTATTCATTTATGAAACATTAATAACCATAAAGGCAAATAGGTAAAACTACAGCATATGCCTTTTGCTTTCACTCCACAAAATCTGGCTATCTTGGTATTTTTATCGTATTATCATAAAATCTTGAGATTAACCTTCAGGTTGCTAAAGACTGTCTCTTCAGTTAGGGTTTGACTGATGGCTGTGAGCATAGACTATGATATGTAAGTCTGCCTAAAGAACAACTCTAAAACAGTATTTCCTTTAGAAATAAAAGTGTTCCTAGAAGCCCCTTGGATATAAGGATTGAGAATTCTATCACAGGAGACAAATAATGTAGTGATGAAAAAATTAAATTTCCATTTAGAAACATCCTCTGGACACTTTGATATCCCAACACACACACACACACACACACACACACACACACACACTGTTTATTTCAAAAGAAGCCCACTATGGAACAAATAAATTGGTCTAAATTTCAGGAAAACTAAACTCAGAATATAGCTTTGACTTCATATTCTGCAGGATAACTATATCTGAATCATCTAAAATGTCATATATACCATTTATTTGGGTCATGACAGTTCAAATTTGACTGATGTCTACAACCATAGACACCCACACCCACCCACCCACACACATAAGCCAACTCTTCAAAGTATAAGTTTGGGTCTCTACAAGGGTCCTCCCAGGATAAAATAAGGTACCACATGCTTATCAGTTTATTCCAAAATTGCGGCTCTTTTCTTTGCATGTCAGCAGCATGGTGTTAAATGTTCGCCTCAAACAGTAGCACTGGGGATAGCCAGGAAAATTTTAATTTATTGGTGAAAGAGAAGGTAGAATTCAAATCAACTTCAGTGTGGGTTTTTTGAGGGTAGTGTATTCATACTATGAATAGCACCTCCAGCAGTTTCTATTTGAGGATGGTTCCTTTTGCTATTCAGTCACATGTGTTTCCAATGAACGCACATGCACACGTGTGCATACATGGATGACACAGAACTGACATTAGCTTAGGTAAGTACTTATTAAGAATAACTATTTATGAATATGCAGTTATTTCAGAAGTGTTTTGTAAATGTGTGTTTATTATGCACTCACTTAAATTATTTTAAAGTTACATGCAGTTAAAAAAAATCTAGGTTATAATTATCCCCACCACATGAACTTAGAGACAAGACATTTAATCTCCTACCTCTTATTTTTAGGAATTTATTTTTATCTTTTACCTTAAAAAAATCCTTTCTGTCTCCCAGAGACTCTGTTTGGGGACTTGAATTGTACCCTTCTTTGAAGATTCTGATTGCATTTTTATGATTTTCATATCTATGTTATAACATAATTTTTAAATAAAGTATTCATTTTGGGGTTGTCTCTCCCACTGAAATTGACATTTTCAAGGGCATAAAGCATACAATCCGAATTGCCTTTTTCCTAAAGTCCAGTGTTTAACTAATCCTCAGGTATTCACTGATTGGTAAACAAACAAATGATTTTAAATGAAATGTCAGTTATTATTATGCAATAAGCAATCAATTATATAGCAACACTTTTCTGGAATCATTTTAATGGTTCTTAAACTTGTGTCTTTGAAATTAAATTTAGAGTTTCAGAGTCTTCACTGCCAAGGTTAAGGTAGTAAACTTAACACAAACCTGGTGGAAGATAAAACAAAATATTCTTAGCTAATTTCCAAAGGATGACCTCTAGAATGGAGATTTAAAGGGATATTACTAATTTTATATCTTTTTAGTTATTTTCCCTTGCATTTTATATAATTTGCTTGAATAAGAAAGCATTTAGAATGATTTTGAATGTCACTTTCAAAAGTAAGAAAAATTAGCTTATACAAAATATAAATGACTAAGAAAAGCAATTGTATATCAAAATATAAGAAAACCACCATTGTAAGCAGAGATTAACTAGTTCTGTCAGATGAAACACATACAATTATACTTGGAGATCTTTTTTTCAGAGAACAAGGATAATCAAAGCATTAGAATTTAGATTAGAAGTGTGGAGAATACTATAAGAAAATCTCAGAGCTGATCTTTTTCAGTTATCTAATGTAAATGAGTATTAACTTATCTATAACAAACCAGTTAGTAAAAGTAAACCAGGAGAAAAATACTTTCCCTTTTTATTCTACCTCTTTTAAAATATTTCCAATACTTGGCAATAATTAGATTTGGTGTTGTTTACACGCTTAATTTTTTTTTTTTTTTAAAAGCCCATTTTAATTCCCTTTCTTGTTTCCATAAGGATCTAATTCTTTAAATTCTGTAAAAATATAAAATCTACCATAACCAGCCTTGGCACATGTGAGAAAAACTTTC